ACAACATCTAATCAAATAAATAAATAAATAAATATCATGTACATGTACGTACCTTCACTATCAGTGAAATCAATGACTGATCTAATATTAGAATATGTGAGGAATTCCAAGTGTCTAAATATAGTAACAAGAACAACAGTAATACATGTACATGTATGTACATTACATGTATATGTATATGTACATGCATGTATACTAAAAATACATGTACATGTACCTGTATGGTTTGTATGAGTCCTTCATAGCAACAAAACCATGACCACTTCTTATCTTAGCAATCTGTAGGAGAGAGGGAGGGAGGGACACTAATTAATAAGACCATCTAATAGTACAGGGTATTTTTCAGAATTTTAACATTTTCTTAAAATGGCCATAACTCGAAAAATTGAAGTCGGAGTTAGCTCAAACTTGCTACACAGCATAAGGACATCAATATGTATCAGAAAACGTAATAAAAATTGGGGGTAATTTCAGAGTCATTTTTGAGAAAAAAAACTATGGGCTATAGCCTTGGGTATTTTTAACAATTTTGGCATTTTCTTAAAATGGCCATAACTCGAAAAATTGAAGTTGGAATTAGCTCAAACTTGCTACACAGCATAAGTACATCAATATGTATCAGAAAATGTAATAAAAATTGGGAGTGATTTCAGAGCCATTTTTTGGAAAAAACCCATGGGCTATAGTATCACTGGGAACTTATGGCTTTGGTTTAGGGAGTATCTTAGCTGCCGGCATCAATGTGTATCTGTTAATGGTTCTCTGTCTAATACTTTAGATGTTACATCTGGTGTCCCACAAGGGAGTATTTTGGGTCCATTGCTCTTCTTAGTATTCATAAACAACCTTCCTACTTGTGTAAAATCTTCTAAAGTCTTGCTTTTTGCAGACGACACGAAATGCTATCAACTAGCTAAAGATTACTTGAATCTTCAAGCTGATTTAGATTCGCTGTATCTCTGGAGCCTCTCAAATTTGTCTTTTAATAGTAACAAGGTTTATCACTTACGTTTCCAGTACAGTAGTGACAATACTGACAGCTATATAAGTAGTTATGGTACGTACTACCTTGGAGACAGACCAGTAGTCAAGTGTTCTTCCCAGCATGACCTAGGGGTGATCATGACTGACGATTTGTCATGGTCTAATCACTTCTCTCTAATTATTTCCAAGGCACTACGCATACTTGGTCTACTGAGGAGATCTTTTGGCCCCTCTACTCCTGTACCGGTCAAGAGACTCCTCTACCTCACCCTAGTGAGATCTAAGCTTATCTACTGCTCTGTCTTATGGAGGCCAAGACTAGTTAAGGATATCCGTCGACTGGAAAGTGTGCAGAGGAGGGCTACTAAGTGGATCTTGGATGACTACAAGACTGACTATAGATCCAGACTTGTATCTCT